TAATTACTTTAGTTTATTCACTGATTAGTATGTAATTATTCAACCATGTTCGCAAAAAAATTTCCATGTTTCTTAAAAATACGATAAAGACATTTAAAAACAATAGTTTTTTATCTGTACACGGAGAGAAAAATCTAGCTTTAATAGTATGACACTACCTATACTAATTTCGCATGACTATAGTCACGCATTCTAACGCATGAATTCATACCCAAAAACCATGGGTCCACGCTTCACCATGGTTTTTCGGTATGTTTTCATGCGTTTGAAGCGTGACTATAGTCCATGCGAAATTAGTATAGGTAGTGTCATACTATTAAAGCTAGATTTTTCTCTCCGTGTAGTTATTAAATAAAAGGAAAATAGGGTAAGGTGGGGCATTACTATTCTTGTTTGGATTTTTTGAGTCTAAAAAATGTATTTAAAAAAAAATAAAAAAATGAGTAGGACCGCTTGAAAACTTGACTTTACAATTTTGCTATGTATTATTTTGCTGTAACTCGATTCTGTTCCGAACTACAGCGATTTTACAAATTTTTTTATGTCAAAAAAAACGAGGGGCGTAACTATTCTTGCAGCTATTAATGATATAATACTAAAAAAAATATAAAAATTAATTTGTTAATTGGAGGAGTTTTTCTGGTTTTTCTCTTCCAATTTCTCACCATTCTAACCTAAAAACAAGCACAAAAAAATACCCTGCTTCGTAGTTTTCGCTGTCATCAGTGGGCGAATAGTTTCGCCCCAACCGCACATTTTTTTAAAAAACACTTGTAAAATTTTTGAACAATAGAATATCAAAAATCCATTATGATATTCGTGTTCAGCACTAAATTTGACTTTACCCAATGGGAAGTTGCCAATGGTAACGATTGGTTCAATAATGGGCCATGCTTGGTGCCCAATGGTTTTTTCTTGGCAAAACAATTGGCAACCATCATTGGACCACCAGTGGTTTAAACTTGGAATGATCACGCTACTGCCAATGATCGGTAGCCAAGCATCGGACCAATATTAGTTGCCAAGGAATTGCCAAGGAAACAAAATCAATTTTCAAAAGCTTGATTTTTTATTGGCAGCCAACAAAAAACCAAGGTTTTGAAAATTAATTTTTTTAAATTATTAATTAAAATTTATTTTTAAAAAATAAATTTTTCAAAAATTTATTTTAAAAAAATATATTTTTTAAAAATATATATTTTTTTAAATTAATAGAACATATTAATTTAATTTTTCACCTCTGGTAAAACAAAGGTGAAAGACTGATAAATTCCCTCACTTTATATTTTACAGTGGAGGGATAACTGTGAATGTCTTTGCGAGAGAGGAGCAGGTACTTATATAGAGCCAGTGAAACAGGTCACAAGCGAGAAGAAATCACTAGCATGCACTCTGGCGGCGCTTGTCGGAAGTGGCGCAACGTTGGTGGCCAAGCGCTGTGTCGATAATGTCAGGATATGCATGCGCGCCAGAAAACAGTTCCGACAAGCGCCGCCAGAGTGCATGCCAGTGATTTCTTCTCGCTTGTGACCTGTTACACTGGCTCTATAAGTACCTGCTCCTCTCTCGCATAGACATTCATAGTTATCCCTCCACTGTGAAATACGGTGAGGGAATTTTTATCAGTCTTTCACCTTTGTTTTACCAGAGGTGAAAAATTAAATTAATATGTTCTATTAATTTAAAAAAATATATTTTTTTAAAATAAATTTTAATTAATAATTTAAAAAAATCAATTTTCAAAACCTTGGTTTTTTGTTGGCTGTCAATAAAAAATCAAGCTTTTGAAAATCGATTTTGTATCCTTGGCAATTCCTTGGCAACTAATAATGGCCCGATGCTTGGCTACCGATCATTGGCAGTAGCGTGATCATCCCAAGTTTAAACCATTGGTGGTCCAATGACCCGTGTAGAAAAATTTCTTGGCGCTAGCTAGCAGTGCTAGATACAGGGTAAATTTACATGCAGTCTAGCGCTGCTAGCTAGCACCACGAAATATTTCTACACGGGGATGGTTGCCATTAATGTTCCAATAATGGAACGGAGTTCACCAAGCATGGCCCATTATTGAACCAATCGTTTACTTTCCATTGGGTAGAAATAATTTTTTCGATAATTTTTCCGACCGTTTGTCACTATTTACAATGGCAGACTAAATGAGTGAAAACAAGTAAGCGAGTATATCAAAATTACATTTGAGTACCTAACTCCTACCCTAGTAGAAATTTTGTCGTGGCATGACTAGATTTATTCAAGTTACTGTACAGTTTTAGTCATGGAAGTTTAATCTAGCTTAACTGGCGAATTACTAGACAGCTACTGCATAACACTGTTAAAGAAAATATAAAGTTGAACTTGATTATTACTGCATAGAAGTCGTGTACAGTTATTTTCATGGCACTATCGAGGCGTTCCGAGAAATTATGTTCAAAAGTTTGTCGTGGCGTTAGCGCTACCCTCAGTTTCAGTAACTAAACGGTTGTGTATTGACATTTTCGAAATATTTTCTATAAAATGAATCTTTTGGTTTTACAGTTTATAGTTTTTATATTTTTAATTTTGTTCTTTTATTTTACTGTTGACAACTAAATAACAAATTTTTTAAATTATTTAATATTAAAATTTTGATTTAATAATAAAAATTTAGTTTTAATGAAACTTCCTGTAGAAAAAAAACTTTTTTAAAATTCGCTTTAATTAATTGAGTTAATTAAAATAACTAATTTTTTAAATTCAGAAGACAATTTCTTTTCAAGATTCTATACTCTTATTATATGTATAAATATTAATTTAACAAACCTGTTACATACAAAAAGTTAGAATTGATCCAATAAAGTGAGGTTATGTTTTACATTTATGTATTGACGTTGACATATGTATAGCTCTCCGATCTGTATAACAGAACTGTCTATAATTAATGACAGTAGCCAGTAACAATTTATTACTAATCCCTTACGGAAAAAATAGACATAATTCTAGTTATACCCGCGAATTATTTCTTTCAGTGTATACACTGATGTATTTATGGAAAATTTCTACATAACACTGTTCAGTTGCTGGACTGACGGTAACGCTAACGCCACGACAAACTTTGAAGCATAATTTCACGGAACGCCTAGACAGTACCATGAAAATAACTGGTCAGACAGAACTTCTATACAGTAATAATCAATAAGTTCAACTTTAGAGTGTTATGCAGTAGCTGTCCAGTAATTCGCCAGTTGAGCTAGAAATGATGAAAAAGGGAACTGCTTTACCTGCCGGTAGAGTATGGTTCTTATTTTTCCGGAATCGTCCATCGACTAGAACGGCCGTGATGCGTAAGCGTGCGTTTAGGTATTTCGTCCCAGTGTGACCCGAGTTCGCTCCCCGATACCGCTGGATATTTTTCGTTTGAACTGAATTAGTTCTTCATATTAGGGTTTACTTATAAGTTTGTAGTGTGATAAAATAATAATATTTATTTTAGTGCTGTGCTTAATTCAAGGAAAAAGTGAATGTTTTTTAATGTAAAAAAATGACATGTGTACAAAAATCAGTATTGTTTATAATTCCGTGCTATAACCTTATTTGCTATAGCCGATTGATAGAGACGATATCCTCATCTACAATGCTCAAAATGTTTTTAAAGAACTAAATTTTCATGTATTATTTAATAACCTTGGAGTATATTATGTTATTAATTTTATTAAGAATAATTATTGTCAAAAAGATTGATATTTTATACTCTCTAAATTTAAATTAGTAAAACTGATGTTTACTAATTTGAATTAGTGACTGACTTTCTGCTTTTAAATTAGTAAATTTTACTAATAAATAGTAATTTCTACTAATTTAATAGTAAAGTTTACTAATTCAAAAGCAAAAAGTCAGTCACTAATTCAAATTAGTAAACATTTTTACTAATTCAAATTTAGAGAGTATATTAGAATGCGCGAAAAAGGAATATGCCGCAATTATGGACAAGTTGGCACGGAATTACCTACATGGCAAAATTTTTGCACGGAATAACGTTCAATTGAGTGTTTTAAAAAATTATTAAAAACTAATATAAATTTAGTTTTTAAACAGATACAAACAATGAAAAACTGAGAATGATTAATTAACTTATTATGATGCAATTGTTTTTTTGCACTTTAAGTTATTTGCTAAAATAACAGAAATAGAATTCTCTGCAAGGGCCTTAACATGCCGTAATTATGTACATTTACCTTATTTCCTCTGTTTAGAAAGTCTTTCAAATACTATAGGTACTGGCGTATAAAGAGATAAATAAAATTTCAATTTAATATCGAATAAAATAAATTTCTTACCAATAAAGAAATAAATGTCATTAAAATTCGTTACATAAATTCTTCCTGAAATAAAATTATCGTCAAAATTATAAAATTGGTCGATAACATAAAATTGTTTAACCCTATAACATTAAGGGCTCGCTTCACTAACACCGATTAAAAGTTAATCAATGATTAAACGACCAATATATCATGTACGGTTAAAATGACTTTAAATATTCATTAACTTTTAATCGGAGTTGTTGAAACTGTCTCTTAAACATTAGGGGTTGAAGTTGCACAGTTTTTCTAAGGATATCAAATTGAGACAAAGAAAACGTATCAAAACGTTCCATTGCAACAATTTTGACACGTTTTGTGTCTCAAATTTGATATCCTTAAAAAACTAAGCAAGTACTGAAATTAATAAAAATAATAAATAATTAAATAAAATAATAATAATAATAATTACATTGAAGTTGTTCATTTCATGGCAATTTAGCTTCCTCAATATAATATATACCAATTGCTTAATTTTTTATTATAGAATAATTATTTTTAATTATTTTAAAAACCTTTTTTTCTGTTGACTATATATTATAAAAGTAGGGATCTAATTAGCGTTGCGCTCTTTAAAATAAACCGCTTGGTCGATGAAATTGTAAATGCATCGATAAAAGAGAATATTTTTCATAGAACTAAATAATCGATTTGCAACATGTGCAGGTTTCACGATGAAGAACACGCGAATCTTCTTAATGCAATGTGGCTCATCGCGATCACATTCTTGAGTGTGGGTTTTGGTGACATCGTACCAAACACGTACTGCGGAAGAGGCATTGCAGTTTCTACGGGAATAATGGTAAGTAAATCGATACCGCAATCACTTCTTATCTAATATGTAACGTATTTTATTTTTTTTTTTTTACAAAAAATTAGTAAATTTGTAATATTACAAACTGTGCAGTTTTAATTTTAAAATTTTAAATAATTACTGAAAAGAATGATAAAAAAAAAAATTTTCTTTGGTAAATTTTAATAAAAGTTTAAAAATTTAATACGAAAAGAATCAACAATTGTAATTAATGAAAAAATATACTGAATATTTAATTAACAGCTTATGTTTTATAACACAGGCCGACAAAATTTTATCAACTGCATGTTGTCTAAAATGAAAAATTTATAGCTATTTTTTTAAACATGTTATTTTTTACCAAAAAAAAGTGGTACGCACGTTGAGACACCCATAGTAATTTATTTTAAATTGAAACAAAATGAATAATTACGTCAGATTCTAATTGTTTGTTGTTTATTTACTTATTTTGATGTTCTTAGCCCAAAGAAAAAAATTAAAACATTAAAAATTAACTTAAAGAAGAGAATCAAAAAATAAAATTTTATTTTGCACAAAAATAATTAATCGAAATCTTTATCTTCGCAACTTTTACAGGTCAAGAAAATAGAAAACACTTGAAAATTGTGGATTCAAAATCAAGTTTAATGACAATACTATTTCCACACCGTGAGCGTCTCAACCTGCGTACCACAGCTGTGTGTCTCAACGTGCAGACCACGCCGTTATTTTTTTAAGACTTTGAAATTATTTGTAGATATTAACGTATGTCTAAATTCCGTCGGAACATTAAAGTACAACCAAACTTGATATGTAAATGTTATCCGCACTTTTTTCTGACACTAAAAAATACACCAAATACACTAAACAGGAATCCTGAAAAACACATTTTTTAACTAAAAAATTGGTTCGCTCTACTTCTACCGAAAAAAACAGGAGTTATCGCGCTTCTATTGAAAAAAAAGTTTGGTATTAATGATACGACAAAATGTCAATAAACTTTTTGGTATTATCAGTTACATAGGTTATAATCTTAGTGTCTAAACGTGCGTACCTCTCCCCTACACAGAATACGCATTTTTGTCATTTTTTGAATGAATGTAAAACCATATACCGAAACATAAAATTTGTTCGCATACAGGTCCAAATTAAAGCTTAAATACTGCTCTTTAATATTCAAAAACAAAAAATTTAATAATTAGTTTATAATCTTTAACGTCCGAGATCCTTTATAAATTAAGGCAAATTAAACGAAAACATTCGGACAATGAATAAAATATTTATTTACTCCCTGAAGAGGAAATCATTTAGATTTCGAAACGTTGGAGTAAATAAATATTTTATTCATTGTCCGAATGTTTTCGTTTAATTTGCCTTAATTTAAAAAATTTAATTTATGTACACTTTAACCTTTAATGTCCAATGGGACACATGCTGTTCCATAAACGTATTGAAAATAACATTACTTTTAACCATCAGGTAAGGCAATTTAAATAAAAATTAGTCTGTCTGGGGGTTTTTGTGGTCGCTGCCTATAAATCTGCTTTGAAATATAAAAATTAAAAATGGCGGACCAATTTTTATAAGTAGTTTACATTTTTATGATAAAAATGTAAAATTTAAAAAAAATTCGCCAGATTGAATCCGCTATTTTGAATATTAAAATCTGGATACAGATTTGTAAGCAGCGATCACAAAAACCCCTAGATAGACTAATTTTTACTTAAATTACACACGTACACGTCAGATTCCTGAAAAGGAATTAATTAATTAATTAACATTAAAGGTTAAAGTGTATATAAGTTAAATATTTTGTTTTTGGATATTAAAGAGTAGTATTTAAGCTTTAATTTGGTCCTATGCAGATAGATTTACTGTTTCGGTATATGGTTTTACATTCATTCAAAAAATGCCAAAAATGCGTATTTTGCGTATTGAAACGTAAATTGGAGACGCATGCTTATTCCCGAAATCTTTTTTAACCAAATAGTTATTTGATATAAAACTACTTAACTTAAAATTCACATAATATGCACATTATTTGACATAAATTTCATTGCACACAAAAACCATTTAACATAAATATCATTTGTCATAGAAATCATTAAACAGAAATAATATGTTACATAAAACTCAGATAACTTAATTCCCATTTGACATAAAAATTATGTAACATAAATTTCTATTGACATAAAAAGCATTTAACATAAATTTCTTTTGACATAAAACTCATTTAACGTAAATTTTATTTGTTATAAAATTCATTTGACATCAATTTCATTTGACATAAATATCATTAGACATAAAATTAGCTTGACATAAATTTTATTTGACGTGAATATCATTTAACATAATTATTATTTAACGTAAAATTAAATTTATATAAATTTCATTTAGCATAAATTCTATTTAACATAATTCTCATTTGACATAAAATATACTTGACATAAATTTCATTTGGTATAAATCCCATTTAACATAATTTTTATTTGTCATAAAGTTCACTTGATATCAATTTCATTTGACGGATAAGTCATTACACATAATTCTTATTTGACATAAAATTCAGATGTCATAGATTTCATTTTACATAAAGATCATTTGACATAGAAATATAGGCGCGAATTTCAAAGTTGGCGAATCACAATATTGTTGATAATATCTAATTGGTTACATTTAAAATTGGCGCCGATATTTTTATGTAAAATGTAATTTGAGTAAAATGATTTTTATGTCAAATGAGAATTTCATTGAATGACTTTTATGACAAATGAGAATTGTGTTAAATGTCTTTTATGTCAAATGAACTTTATATCAAATGAAAATTATGTTAAATGGGATTTATACCGAATGAAATTTATGTCAAGTAAATTTTATGTCAAATGAGAATTATGTTAAATGGCATTTATGCTAAATGAAATTTATATAAATTTAATTTTACGTTAAATAATAATTATGTTAAATGATATTCACGTCATATGAAATGTATGTCAAGCTAATTTTATGTCTAATGATACTTATGTCAAATGAGAATTACGTTAAAAGACATTTATGTCAAATGAAATTGATGTCAAATGAATTTTATAACAAATAAAATTTACGTTAAATGAGTTTTATGTCAAAAGAAATTTATGTTAAATGCTTTTTATGTCAATAGAAAATGTTACATAATTTTTATGTCAAATGGGAATTAAGTTATCTGAGTTTTATGTAACGTAATATTTCTGTTTAATGAATTCTATGACAAATGATATTTATGTTAAATGGTTTTTGTGTGCAATGAAATTTATGTCGAATAATGTGCATATTATGTGAATTTTAAGTTAAGTAGTTTTATATCAAATAACTATTTGGTCAAAAAAGATTTCGGGAATAAGCATGCGTCTCGTAAATTGGTTGAAAACTAGAGCCAATACATTATTTTCAAGGTCAAATTCGGATTCTACGGACAAAATCCTATAAGAATTGGCTTCCATTGGTTGGGCCACAAAATTTTGTTGGCCTGTGTAATCATTAATTTTTAAAATGTAATAACTTTTACACATGGTGATGTGCCCTTCTTCGCACCGTATTTTAAATCTCTTTATACAATATATCAGCTCAATCTATTTAATACTTTGAAAGAGAAAAGTGAGCAAGAAAAAATTAACATTTAGAACCTAACAGAAATTGTGGAATTCAACATAGACGGACTTAGGAAACGTGTTTGTTAATAAACTCTCACTCCCTTCATATAATACTGTTTTAAGTTAATTTTACAGTTATTATCTAACATAACATCGAGCCCACAGCAAAAACATATTATATGTAATTAATTATTTTATACCGTATATATATACACTCTATTTCATTTAGGTACGTTCACATGACTAAACCCAAAATCAATAGTTCATGTCGCATTGTCAACAAATCCTCTGTTATACATGTTACAATAATTAATTTGCATATGGAAATTATTCTACACTCGAAAATATAAATTCCACGTTAAAGTCTATTCACATATACAGTTGAACACAAAATTAACACCAAAATCATTCTCTGCTAATTATATATCTAGATTTATCACGTATATAATTCATTATTAAATATTCTTATTCATTTTCGTAATATCTTAATCTTATGCCTATCAATAATCAAAAATAATAAAATGACTATAATAAAAATAATAACAGAGGCATTCTATTTCAAACCATTTCATGGACAAAAAAATTTTTTATTATATAAAAATTTAATTATTTATAATATATTTTATACACTGATTCGAAATAGAATTTCATGAACTTTCTATTGCTATTTTTATTTTATTAAATTTCTTTCAATTTCGTAGAGAAATTCCTGTTTGAAATGTTAAATTCATAATATCTCAAAATACCCCCCCCCCCTCTTCATTTTAATTGAAACTTATGTATATAGAAAGCTTACTTCTTCTAGTTTTTAATACATTAAATTTTGTTTTATTATAAACATTTCAGTATTTATATTATTTATATTTATTATAAACACATAAAAATAAAATTTTATTTTCATTTTTATGTGCCTTTTCCTCTAAAATGTCCATAATAAAATAAAAGGGATTGAAAACTAGAAAATGTAAGCTTCCTTTTTACATAAGTTTCAATAAAATTAAAGGGGGGTGTTTTTAAATATTATGAGTTTTACATTTCAATAAACAGGAATTTCTTTACAAAATTTAGAAAATTTTGAAAAATAAATAAATAATAATCAAAATTTTTTGTCATGTATCACTTCTATGAAAATTTTTAAAAATGATTTGATTTTGATGTAATATATGGAATAGTTTCTTCAAAAAATAATTTTCCCCTACGTCAACTTTTATTTTATTTTTAATCATGTGTCTTACAGGTTAAGTACATTAATTAATTATAACTTTTAAATTAATGTTTTTGTAGAAAAAACTCGGTAGGAATATTTTCCTTTTAAATAATAAATTATTATTTTTTAATTTAAGTACTACACTTTTCGTTTGTACAAAAAATTTTTTTTAATAA